TATAACTTATTATAATCAAAGATGTTACAAAGTTTTCTTACAAATATGGTTATGAACTCACCAACATTCTATGTTGACGCTTTTCAAAATGACTTGTATTCTCAGGAAATCAGTGAACAGGTACTCGAGCCTTGGATCTGGATATTTTGCTATCTTTTTGAGACATCATACTTATTGTTATTTTTGTGTAATCAAAGAACAAGTACAATTTGTAACCAATGAATGTTGGTGTATTGTAATGTATGATGTTGGTTGCTATGTATCATTTATATTCAACTGCTATGATATTACACAATGACGTCATCCGCCCCCGGACGTTTCCGCCGTCCTGGTTCGGGGGTGTGACAAATAATATCAAATTCTATTTTATCTAAACTAAAATACTAACAACCTCTAGTATATTAGATTTACCAAATTATTTAACCAAAATATGCACTTTGTGTTAAACCTAACCTAACTAATCCAATGCAAATAAGCTCTTAGATGAGATTGACAGAGTGATTTATGTTTCATGCAAATTTTACCAATAATAATTGATACTCGTCACAAGCTCGCGAGCGTTAAAATAAGAAATCCTTGACTACACTAACTTTGATTTACCAAAAACCAGTTGTGTTTTTTTTTTAATTTTCCAATTCAGAAAGCATATACAAATTTTATAAATTGTGTACCTTGAATGATTCAAACGCTAATTCAATTGCTCAGATGAAAAGAGTAACACTCATACATATAATGTAGAACAAACCAAATATTGCTTGATACAATTGAAGTTAAAACCAAATCATGAAATTAACAAGTGTTTAATCAATTCAAAACCAAAAATGGAAAGAAAGTTAGTCGAAATCAAGAGTCAAACACAAATTAAACTTTCAAAACAAAACTCATAGTGTTTAAAAATGTTTCCTTCATAAAAGTTACTTCCAAAATCACCCTTCTTCTGCTCTTAACTATGGTCAATTAAAAATGAGGCCAAATTCTCTCTAAATCAAAGAGAGATGAAACTGCTTAAGTGTCCAAATACATAAACACAAACATGTAATTTTTACACTGACAATTTCATGGTCATGTAATATTGAAAGTACGTTGCAATGTTCGAAATTATTCCAAAAGTACATTACTCAAATCGTGATCTTTCTTTGGTTACACATTCGTGTACTTTTTCTTCTTTAGAAAGCACGACCGTGTAATGCTTTTTCTATTATCAACTTTCCACAAAAACAAAATCGTGTAATATTTACACTGACAATTACATGACCGTGTAATAGCCTGAAAATGTGACATCCCCATTTTCTTGGCTAGAAAAGAACGATTTGTTTATGCTTTATTTGAAAATCAGAGTATCTTTTTGAAGAAATATGTTGCAGAATTTGTTCCCAAATATATGATAAGTAAATTATCAAAGCATTCCCGAAGGAATGGGTTTTCATTATATTAAAAACATTGGGGGTGTTATTGTTAATACAATACATAAGCATAAACAGAAATAGTACAAGCCTTACAACATCTATTATTCTAATGGCCTATAATCCATAAATGTCTCATTAGATCAACACTCCTGTGCTCTTTTGCCACTACCTGTAATGCAAGAAACTGAGTGGGTCAGGCTTGGGAGCGTGGTGAGCAAATAGGGTTTTCAACCCACAATAATTAAGTTTATTAATTTTATCAAATCAATCAACCCGATTACCTATTCCCGTTATCCTCACCTTTTGTCCCTAAAACATCTAAATTAGGGGACCTAGCCTAAGGATTTTCATCGGGATGACAACACTGCTTAGTGGATTCCTCAGCAATATATGTCAAATAAGGCAAGCCTGCCAACGTTCCACTAGACTTTCTAGAATAGTCTGTGGTCGCCATCTATACTCCGCTAGATGACTGAATCATCTTAAACATCGAGGCCTCTCATCAATTTTATTTCCTCTTTCATCATCTATTTCATCTACCCATCTTTACCTATCATAATCATAGGTATAAAATACATATACAGTTTAAATCAAGTAAAACATGTATATTTTGTTCATCCATCATTAATATCAAGTACGCAGATAATATGCACACATAGCACGTAATTTATATTAAATACTTCATATCTATGTGTAAGATGAAAACAACTATGCACTCACCTGATATAACAAGTGTATATTGCAGATCGTAATTAGTTCTGAGAGTAACTTCCCGATCATTTTTCAAAATATCTTCTAGTATTTCTTTCTAAATTTATGTGCATTGTATGTTGCGAAATATATAAAAAAAACCATCCTATTTATACCCATGATGAAACGTGATCCCCAATCTTATCAAAATCAACACGTAGCATAAATTTGGACAAGTATGTACGATTATAATTATCTTAGTCATCTTGTAAAACTAACACATATACCTTTTTATTAAATGAAGTTGTACGATCACACATTTAAACAACGCGTGTTATTTTTAATTAATAAAATATGTACGATCTTTCTTATATTTTCTTACATGTTGATTGGATCATTTGCAATTCACAAATCAATTATAATTACATTTATGGTCCCTCAGTTATTCTTGTATTAACACAATATATCCTTCAAGTTACACTATAGTCCCTTAACTATTTATTAATAAAATCATTATACCCTTTATAATAAAATCTTATTCAAATCATTTATTTCGTTCCTATCCAAACCTTTTATCATTAACTAACTCGATATGTATGTGTATTCTTGACTTTATATCAACGAGTACTACAACTTTTATTTAAGCTTCGTGGGCAAGTTCTCAATCTATCTCAAATTTACAAATTTGCACTGATTTCGCTGCGTTTCGAAACTTAGGGACCAAGTTTCGCTCACATCTTTCGTATATGAGCTCCGTTCTCGACGTTCTCTATATCGACAGGATCTACGACTTCGTTTTGATTATTTATCCTAAATAATCTTTTATTTTTAAACGTTTATTTAGCCCTATTTATTAAGTTTTTTTTAAATATTTTTTTACACGAATATTATATACACATAATATTTGTTCAATTTCCAAGCATATAATATATAAACACATATACTTGAATAATCCCCTTTCACTTATTCATAAAAAGTTTATAATCATCGACCGATGTAAATACAAATTTTATAATTATGACAAACAAGAAACGTGGGCGTTACAGAAAACATGCTTCTTCGATTTCATAACTCCTTCATTCTTGGTCTGAAAAATCTATTTTTTTTCACAACTTCCTTACAATGTCCTAATCAAGATCTGATCTTCAAATGAAGTCTGAAAAGCAACCAACACTGTGAAGCTAAACAATTTCCCATAATTGTCCAAGAAAAGATAAAATATATGCATAAACTAACCCAAAATACAATGCATGACATGAAATAAACATGTAAAAATAGTGCATTTCATGCACTTCACAAATCTCCACAAGCTTGAACTTTTTTCTTATCCTCAAGGAAAACAAGATTCAATCCAAACCGGGGGAGAAAATTAATAAAACCAGAATATAAAAGCAAAAGGAAAGAATACCTTAGGTTACCCATCACGACAATACAATCATAATAAAAGATTTGCTACTTTATATCTCATGCACACAACAAATATACCACATTATAAAACAAAACACATAAAGGCATAAATATTCACTAAGCGCATTGCACAAAACACGTAGAGTCATGGTATAAGGCAACTTCTAGTAATTCTCACTAGCCAAAGCAGGTTCGTCCCAATCGAAAGGACATGATCACATAGACACTCAAACACTCGTGCATGTGTTCATTTCACAAGATGTGTGAACTCCCGATTATCCATCTACTTTAACTAGGGCACTCAGGCGTTAGATTATGAATCATACCCCATTCTCTCAAGTCTTCATTTTTGAATCCCACAAACAAGCATGTAGCCATCTAAATCCAAATAGTCTTCCAAATTCCATGCAGACATCTGACTCTTCTTGAGGTGACAACAAAACCGTGATTCCATAACCAGGATGCAAAGAGAAAATAAAACTATGTACAACATACAACAATAGTACAACAAAATACAAAAGAATCGTGCAAAAAGCACATGTTGGCTAAAAATCAATTGTCGATAAAAACAATTCCAACAAAATGAATATTATCATCTGTATAATCAAATTTTCGTTATGATAAAATCTACAATCGCTTGATTAGGTTCTTTTTTTTTTATTTTTTACTTGAAGTAAGGGAATGACAAAAAACTGAAAATGGATAACCGAACTAAACAATATAATGTTTGCTTTATTTTGTTTGGGTTATTCGGTTTGGTTAACCGTATACAGGTACCTTATTCAGTTTAGTTTGATTAAATTTTCATTACTTTGGTTAAACCAAATAAACTATTTAATTAATATATATTTTTATAGTTTATATTTATAAAATAACATTTTATATTGATTAGTTACTAAAAAACGATTTCCATACCTCATTATTTAATTATTAACCATTATAAATTTATATTTTATTTTTGTATTAAACCCATGACTAATAACCAAATGCCAATGAACCTACACTCTTTTCTTTCCTCTTCATACATGACTAAGGTTATATTAATATGCATGTATATCGTGAAAGATCAAATATAATATATTTTTTATTAATGTATTTTTTTTCATTTGGTAAAAGTTTAGTAAGTTTTTTTTTTAGTTTAATTTTTTTTTACATGTGAAATTTTATCTATTTTAATCGGTAAACTGAATCGAATAAACCAAAACTGATTAAACCAAACTTTTTTTTGGTTTGGTTATAGTTAGTTTTAATTTATAAAAAAAAAACCCGATCAAACCGAAAATACCGATGAATAACACCCCTAACTAAAAGCACCATATATGTAACATCAAAAAGACGAAAACTTGACCATATACACCGAAACAACAATTGACTCTTTATCTAAAATTTTACATTAAAAACGTAAAAATGATTGTTGATTTCAAGTTTTGAAATCTTTAACAAGGCTTTCACCAAAAATTGTAAGATTTTTTCTTAAATTTCTAGATTTTGATGATTTTGTGGTAAAAACAAGTATTTCACAACATGAACATTATATAATACATCAAAAGATTATTAATGAAATTTCCGTTGTACCAGACAATAGGTTGTGTAGTAGTTTTTCATCAGGTCATCGACCCCTTTTATGCGAGATTAAGCCTTGGCAAATCTGAAAGCCATAATAAATCATAAATTTCAATTTATTAACACACATAAGCTTTGATAAAAAGATTAAAATTCAAAACTTTACCCCAACTCGGAGAGTTTCATGTGGGAGACTGCATAATCAGCAAAGAATGCATCCTCATCCTATTTCAAAACATTTAAAAACAAATAAGCATCCAATTTTACACAATATCAATATTTAAAGATGAAGTGACTAAATGGGAATTTACTCACAACAGCATATTTCTCAACAAGGGGTCGAAATATTGGGTCTTCAAGAAGAGCCTTGTCAGTAGGTAGCTTGAGAAGCCCTTTTTTCTCACCAGCAAGAAGCTCTCTGTTTGTATTAATTTAGTGGTTATAAGAAATAAAACCAACAAACAACTAAAAGAATAAAATAGACTTTAAATCTCACATAAAGTAGCTGTTGTCGAAGATAAGAGGATTTGAAGTCCATGGTCCTTCAAATCCAGATCTTTCCTTATGTGCACCTCCCAAAGTATGACCACCAGATAGAGTTACAATGTCTATGTCTTCAAGACCCATGGTTTCAACAAATACTTCCCTCAAATGGTCGTTACCCTTGGTTGCATCAGGAAGACGCCCTTCATTTGGGATCTCTTTTTTGTCCTAAAATGATAAACATAGTTAAGTTTGTTAAATTATATGTTTATTTTGTCATAGTTATATAGTATAAGGTTCCCTTTGTAACATTTTGTATTATATATACTAAAATATAAATCTGCAATCCCTAAGGGCGCGTTTGGTAAGGGGTGATTAAGGCAGGAAAGGAATAAAGCATTCAAATGGAATGGCAAGACGTGTGTTTGGTTGGAGTAAGGAAAGGATATCTCCATTCAAAAGGGAATCACATTCCCCCTGAACACGCTGTTTTCATTCAAGGGGGTACCCCTGATTTTTTTTCATTCGATTCAAGCGCTATTACACATATTCCCATTTTGCCCCTGGTATCTATCATGAACGCAGAAAAATCAGCTAGATATCAATTGATTTCCCTCCAAATCGGAAACAAATTAGCAACCACAATCTCCAAAATCGCAGAAAATCAGCCACGTATGGCAGCAGATCGTCTCTATATAGGGCTTCATTAGACCATTCTTAGTACTGGTAATCCCCTTTTTAAGATTTCTTTCAAGTTGATCTGAAGTTATACTCATCAAGAAACGTCATTTGTGAAGGTTAGCATCTCTCTGCCTTTATTTTTGTTTATCTAATTTCTGAATGTGTTCTATTCATTGCGTGTTCTTCTTTCTGTGTGCCACTGATATCATATAATTAGAGCTGTAAATTATTGTTTGTATGCTGTATAAATCTGATAAGAAAACTTGAATTTTGTAAAAGGGGGATGAACATATGTTGTGTATATGCCTGTAGATTTAGATTGAATGGGATATAGGATTAACAAGAATCTTTCTAAACGCTAGAATGTTGTTTCATCCCTTTATTCAGGTCAAATCATTAAAGCTTTTTTTAGCTGTCGTTCTAAAAAGAAAATCATAAAAACTTTACATTCCAACCATATAGCTCTTTGTATTTCATATAGACCCTAAAAACGAAGAGTTCTACACCCATCTTCAGATTCCAAGATGGTGTCATTTCAGGGGGTTTTGATGACAGGTCTGGAGAAAAATCTGTCACAAAATATGCATGCAAGAAGAAGATACCATATCCAGGGATATGTAATTTGTTCATGAAAAAAAACAAACAGACACACACACACAGTTTCCCACCAGTTTGACTTGGACAAAAGAAATATGACAAGTTTGATGATAGATTTACCAAAAAAACACATAAAAAAATAGACCATAAATCCAAACACACGACTAAAGTTTAGTTTGACCTTAAGAAACCATGAGATCTGAGTCACAAAGTCTAGTTTCCATCTGATGATATGCATACATTACATACTACTTCATATATAAAAAATTTCCAAACTCAACTCACCTCAAAAGTCAGAACCTTCTCATGTACTTATTCCCAGGACCAATTATGGTAAAATCAGTTGGGTTCCTGTTTAACAAACACACCAGGGTCCTCCTCTTACCTGGCGTACCCGTAACCACCAGACCCGAATCCTTTGACCCACCCACTCCCACCAAGGGCTGACCCACAACAGTCCGCCCAGTCCCACTTGGCATGTCATATGAACCACACCTTTTCGGATTAGCCTCCAGTGCCACCTCAACTTCAACCATTAATAAATTTTATATGCTTTCAATATTTCATTATTTTACAAAAATTTATTACTATTGCAGTTATGGCTCGCCTTAAAATGAATAGACAAAAAAGAACAAAGAAACTTGCTGCATTTAGTACATTGTGGATTGAGATAATCAGTTTGGTAAATTGGTATTTTCAACTAGTGAGTATTATTATTGCCATACATATATTTATGTGTCCAACTAGACCTCGCTACAAGATGTTATACCCAGAGAGAAAGCAGTATATGCAAAGATTAGTGTACGAAAGTGATGAGACTTGTACACAACAATTAAGAATGAATAGGGTAACATTTGTTAAGCTTTGTCGTATGGTTGAGATTGATGGCAAGTTAAAGGCCTCTAGGTATCTCCAAATTGACGAACAAGTGGCGATATTTTTGTATGTTTTTAGGTACATAAGAATGCTGCAAAATGGAGAGGCAAAAAGTTTCCTCATTATTGGGACCTATGTCTTGTATTTGGGAAGGATCGTGCTAATGGAAGAGATGCTTAAACAGCAGCGGATGTTATATCTGAGATAAATAACGAAGAACAGGATCCAGACGATTACATGCAAGGAACTGGAGATGGGTTAGAGGATATAGATGTTGATGCTCCTGTGAATAGTCCTACATATGCTCATTCTAAAGAAGATTCGAGTACACAACGAAAGAGAAAAAGAAGAAATAGTTGGGATCCTTTGATGAACAGCTTGAAAGATTCGGCAGATATAATTGGTTCAAAGATTGATAATGCAACAAGTACCTTTAATGCGGTTTTTGGGATCGAGAGAGATAGAGAAGACCTACGTAAAAAACTTAATTCTGAGATGAAAAAAGTTCTTGGTGTAACTGTCCGTGATTTTAACAAGGCAGTTCGTATGCTTTCAAAGAATGATGAGTTGATGGTAATCTTCTTTACCGTTGAGGATGAAGACAAATTTGAATGGGTAAAGGACTTGCTTGAAGATGATGCTTAACGTTATTTATATGGTTTTTTATGATATTGCAGTTTTTGAAGTTATGAAAATTATGATAATTTTAGTTTGTTAGTGTTAGTTAGACTTTGATATGTTTTAATGAGATAAAGTTTTTTATTATAAATAAAAGTTCTTATTTATATAAACCATTTAGAATAGAAACTATAATTTCCAAATAGATAATGTTGAATTTTATTGAATTCTATGAATTTTGTGTTGTAAGGGTATTTTTGTCATTGTAAATTATTTTTATTCCATTACTTTCTCTTTTTTGTACATACCAAACAACATGGATGAATGAGTCATTCCATTCCATCAACTAACCAAACATGACAATGGAAGGGTAATGAAACATTCCATTACCTCATCCATTCCATTACTTAGTCAATTCCATTCCTTTGTCATTCCATTCCACCCAACCAAACACACCCTAAGGGTTTTAATCTAGGGCTATGTGTTTATTACCATACGTACGAATGATCACACGATTTTTTTTCTCGTGTCCATTTCTACAAGCGATCTCTCCTATGCCATCGAACCTACCATTGTTCCGCAACACATCAGATCTTCGCGAAGCTCTGTCTGCTACAGTACCTAATCTCTCATGTGTCATCGAACCTCCCATTGTTCTACTGATTATTATACTGCAAAAGACCTTCGGGACAAATTGGATGAATTTTTTCGCAACAATAAAATTTCTCGCATGCTACAACTGCAAGACCAATTTCACAATAACCAAAATGGATCAAGTTATGTCACTGAGTACTTTCACACTCTCAAAAACCTTTTTGATGATCTCAAACATGTTGACTTTGATATTACCGATATTAAATTAGTTATGCAAATCCTTAGACAACTACATCCCTCATACCACAACATTGTAGACGTCATCACTAACACCAAGCCTTTTTCCTCGTTCCCCGAGGGCAAAAATATGTTCTTGTTGCACGAATCTAGGGAAGCGTCCCCATATTTGTCTCTTGACAATTACTTATCTCAAAGCTCTGCTTTGTACTCTTCTTATAACAATACTAGAAAGCAGAGGAATAAATGGTCAAAAAATTGAAATAGTAGCAAGAATTCCTTAAAAGAAGGGGCATAATGTTCTTGATCAACCACAAAATGCGCTTAATTTTGTTGGAATATTAGGAAATGGTCAATCTTACTTTGGTTCTGTAGTCTCCCCACAATTTTCTACACAAAATCAAGTTACAGCTCATGGTGGACTTGGCGGATTTAGACCACAAATGATGCAACAACACCCTACGAGCCCACTGTAGGTCCACGTTGGTCCAACACTCCAGCAGGTTCATGACGCCCCATCTGACTGGGTTTTCTTCAGCCGAGTATGACCCAACTTTTGCTTACAACCCAAACATTTTTAGAAAACCCATTGCCTTCACTCCGATCCAAGTGTTGTTGCCTTCCTTAACCAAAACATTAGCACCATAGCAACATTTTGCAACCTCACAACAATCAACCACAATCACCTTCCTCTTTTGGTGGTCATGCTCAAGCTTTTCTGCAGCAGTATATTGATATAGCCTCAGATTTTCAAGCTATGTCAATTCAGAAACCACCTGACAACAACTATTATATAAACTCTGGTGCTAGATCTCACATGTCTTTTAACTCATGTACCATGCTTTCTTTAACATCGTGTGACTCTAAATCCATAATAGTTGGTAATGGTGTTATACTCCTGGTTACTTACATAGGACAATTTTTTTTCCTTATTCTCACAACCATTTTGATTTAAATAATATACTTATCTTAAATCACATGGTCAAATCTTGTGTTTGTTCGTCGTTTACGGTTGATAATTTGGTTTCTATTAAATTTGACCCTTTTGATTTCACTATGAAGGACTTTGATATAGGTGCACTCATCTAAAGATGTGACAATGTCGATAATCTCTACCCTATCCGTCCTTCGTCTTCATCCTCGTTATCGACTACATTTCTAGCGGAAGTGTCTCTTCCCACATGGCATCGTCGACTAGGACATCTTGATCTCCTGTTTTTAGATTTTTTGCACTCTAGACATTTAATTTCCAGTTCTACTAAAAAACTTCCACTCTGTCATGTCTGTCAGCTTGGGAAACATTATTGTTTATCATTTGAGTCGTCTAAAACTAAAACTTCTCATATGTTTGAGCTTAGTCATTATGATTTGTGGAGATCTTCTGTTTCGAGTATTAGTGGCTTCAAATATTATATTTTGTTTTTAGATGATCTTTTTCATTTTTTATGGGTGCATGTTTCCGCTTCATGTTGAATATGATGTTTTTAATGTTTTCTCTAATTTTCATGCATATGTCAAAACTCAATTCAAACATAACATTCAAATTTTTCAGTGTGATAATGGTCGATAATTTAATAATAAACCCTTATTAACTTTTTTTTGTCAAATGAAATTAAAGTTAGGTTTTCTTGTCCTTACACTTCATAACAAATCGAAAAAATGAGTATGATGTATGATTTATCAACAAAATCATTCGCACCTTCCTTTTCTAAGCCTCTCTCTCACCAAATTTTTGGGCGGAAGCTCTCTTGACTGTTGTTTAGATGCTTAGTTATCAAAACACTTATTTCATAACCTCCCACAAGTTATCTCCTTGATATTTGCATAGATCTATCTCGTCCCCTCTTCCAATCATCATGGTTATCATTGTGTTATCTTGTCACACAACGTGTCCTTATCTCTCGTCATGTCATCTTTGATGAAGATCATTTCCCTTTTCCCAAATTTCATGTTGCCCCTCAAACATCTGATTATGATAATTTCGTCTCTGATGACCTTCCTCCTCAATATATCGTCACCCATTTACCTATCCCGATTGCCTCTTTTGTGGCATCTCCAACTGCTCTCCCTTCCCCAAGCACTCTCACACCTGATGTCAATCCATCTTCTGCTTACAAATCGTCTTCCTCTTAAGGAATTCACTATACATCTACTTCCACCTCTCCCACCCACCCTCTTCCCTCTTGTCATCATATGGCCACTCGCTCCCATACTGGTTCTCTTAAATCTAGAAATTTTTTAAACCTTTTTGGCCACCTCAAATGTCTATATCATTCCTAAAGTCGAGACGAGATGCATGCTATTTCCTTAAACCACACATGGAATCTCGTTCATCTCCCTTCCCATGCTAACATTATTAGTTGTCATCGACTTTATCATCACAAGTTTGACAGTTTTGGTAACCTTGAACTCTATAAGGGTCGCTTTGTTGCTCATGGTTTCTATCAACAACCCAATCTTGACTTCGATGGCTACTTTAGTCTTATGGTAAACCACGACTATTCTCTTACATCCCTAAACAATGGCCAATCAATCACCTCAATGTCAAAAATGCCTTTCTACACGGTGATCTCTCTGATGAAGTCTACATGAAACAACCCTTAGCTATGTTCATCCAAGCTTCCTTAATCATGTATGTGTTGGATTTATATGCTCAAGAATCATTTTAGAAAGATGTTTGCCAATAACATATGATCATATAGGGTCACACCGTTAACAAGTTATCACTTACTGATTATTTATTAAATAATTTGATTGTTAATAAATATATTCAACTCTTGTATTTAATTATAAAATAATTATGATTTTATGAAAATAATATTTTGAGAAAAAAACTAGCTATTTAATCATATGGTATGATTTAATATGTAGTGTAAAAATTATTGGACCTTTGGTAGTTCTTTTATATAAAGTATATATAACTTGTACATATAAGAGATAATACATGTTTAATTGGAAACATCACATCTCTTCCTCTTACCTCAACACTGTAGCTTTTAAGAGAGTATGGGAGGTTTCTTGGCAACCTCCCTCTTACATACTTCATACATCTAATGCACCTTACCTTTGACTTGTGAAAGGGTATGGCCTATAGCTCTCATGGATTAGTATACATAGAGAGTAAGGAATTCATTTGAAAGACTAGTTGTTTGAATCTTTTCTCTTTTACCTCTTAGAACCGTGGGCATCTTCCCTTCTCCATCTCTTATTGTCTTTTGAAGCTAGTTGAAGATGTGGTGCTTAGAAGTGCGTCTCCCTTAATGCTTAATTACGTTAAGCACTTAAAGGCTTAAGAAGTACTTCATACAAGAGAGAACTAGCATTTTTGGTGGGTTAATCTGGTTGGTGGATACATTATAGATAAATTGTATTCTTGAGTTTTTGTCATCTGCATCAACTCCACAAAACCAAGTGGGATCAAAATCTTCAAAGGTTGTATTCTTAACATCTTATGGTTGTCATAATCTTTCTAGTTCATGTAACTGGATCCTGTTGGTGGTTTTATTAAAATGGTTTAAAAATAAACTAATTATTTTAAAGTCTTTTGTTTGTAGTATAAAATTGTTTTATAAAAAAATATCATTTTTAGTTTTCCAAAACCCATGATTTATTGTCTTCATTACCTTTCTTGGCTTTCAAAGCAACCGTTCTGATTAAGGATGAGAGTGGGTCCAAACCCGGACCGGTAGACCCGGACCCGGAAAACCTGGGAACCGGTTGACGGGATTTCGTAAAACCGGAAACCGGACTGGTATATAGGAACCAGTTCCGGTTCGATTCCGGGTAAAGTGGGTCTAGAATCTTGAAAAACCCGGAAACATTAAAGTGGGTCGGGTGGAACCGGGTAAAATGGATCTAGAACCGGAAAACCCGGGAAATCCAGAATTTTTTGGTAATTACTTAGTGGTTGAACTTCGAAAATTTTCAACTTTGATATCCCAACTTTGGGGGACTGTAAGTCATTGAATATTAAACCAAAAATGACAAAATTATAGTCTAAAATCATGTAGAAACTCTAAACTACACGTTGCAAAAAATATCATGATAATCCGACTTCAAATGAATTAGATATGCATTTTTAAAATTTCACAAAATATAAAAATAAAGCTGAAAAATAGAAAATTCACAACATTGATATCCCAACTTTGGGGACTGTAAGTCAATGAATATAAAACCAAAAATAACAAAAAAAATAG